CACAGCTCCGCGGTGCCAGTCTGAACGTGAAATCGATGTTTTCACTCTTGCACTCTATATATCCCGCGGGCTCGCAGGCCGTTATCGCTGTCGGCTACTCACTACGTGTGAGCCTAATGCTCAAAAAGGCCGGCCTGCGAGCCGCACAACCACGGGGCATGCAAAGGGTGAGAAAGCACAAGCACACAGAGGGAGGGAAGGCAAACGGACAAGAGAGGGGAGAGGCTAGGCGGGCTTCCTGGGAGGGGGGCCCAGGGTCTCACAGGGCCCCCACGGGGCTCAGACGTTTCCTACAGGAAATCTCAGAGCCAGGAGGAACAACGCTCGTCACCCTAGTGCCGCCGTGCTGCCGACGATTGTACATGAATTGCGCAACACATCTTGTCCCTAACCGGTTCCAGTGCAGTCGCCAGGTGCGGAATCTCGCTGCAATTACACCTGCTACGAAAAGCAACCTTCATCCTCCTTGTTCCTTTTCCGTCGTCGTCCTCTTTCCATCGGGACGCGTGCTAATGCAGACAGCGAGGCGGGGCCATCATACTTATATTGATCGCAGCGGAACTCGACGGCCGACAATGTATGTGATATATGTGCGCGTAGGTGCTCACGTGATTCGCGGCGAACGCCATCGCTTCCCGCTAGCCGACAGGGCATTCATGAAAGGGATGCAATCGGAGCTATAACGCTCGCTCAACAAATTAAATGCAATAAAATCCTTTGCAATTTCGTCACCCAAGTTCCCCATTACAATCATGCGCTTCTCTGCGGGGAACTGTTGTAAAACCCTGACTACCCCAGCGCCCGACAAACGAACGTGCAAACCATTTCTGCTTTCCGCAAAGGAAAAGGGCGACCTTTGCCTCGTGGGGGTCCTCTTGGGGACCTCTTGGGGCGTTTTCGGGGCCTTTAGACCGTCTCGAAGCCATCTTAGGCACGCTTGGGGGGCTCTTGGACCGTCTCGGGGCCCTCTTTGGTCTCTCTGAGGCAGCTTTGGACGTATCTTCGGCCGTCTTGGAGGCCTTTTGGGAAATCAAACCCTGAAAAATGTCCTCTTGCCCCCGGGACCAAAAGCGGGCACGAGGGGGGGGGGGGGACAAGTGCGCCGCCCTTGGGCCCGGGACCCCAGACGCCCGTTATATCATATAGCATACATCTATACACAACTCTTTATACAGGTGCGTGTGTGTGTTTATATGCGTGTATATATGTATATGCAAAACGCATACCCGTACATACATACATGCATGCATGCATACATACATACACGCATACATCCATACTTGCATACATACGTACGTACGACATACATGCCTAAACACGTACATACATACATGCATACACACATATGTTTAATGATGTACATAGATGCGCATACATGTACATACGCATCCCCTTTCAATATGTTTACCACCTGAGACTCTGCGACCCCCCTGAGCGGGACCCTCTGGATCACTGGCCCCGGCAACTCCCTGGACGCCCCTGTCGAAGGTCCCCTGGGGTTTTGGGAGCTCCTGGAAGCCCATGCTGGGCTCAAGCAGCGGGCCCATATCGGTGCGGCCGAACGGCCCCCCGAGGGCCCCAAGAGGCTTCAAATACCCAAAGGCTTTCGAAATGCAGAAAAACATTGATGTTCAATCTTCCAGGCGTCAGAAACCGCCCAAGAGGCCTGAAAAACACATGAAACTATCGAAAAGGGCTTCCAGGCAGTCCAAGAGACACCCAAAACGGCCCAGCAGGGCCCCAAGATAGCCCGAAGAGAGGCCCCAAAACGCCCACCGAAGCATCAGAAATCGTGACCCAGCCGCGCAGGGAGACCGTCGTTGGACCGAGGGAATCCTCCTGAGGCCCCCAGATGACGCCCAGGGGGTCTCCTGAGGCCCCCAAGAAACTCTTCAATGAGGAGCCTCTGCATGAAGAACAGAGGAGGATGGGGAATAATTCGTATGGGAGTGCGAGAGTTAGGGAGAGGAAAAAGAAACATGAGGGAAGGACACCATATTACATCCTTATGACCACGATGCCGGACTAGGTAATCAGAAATTAACGCTATATGTTCTGCTTCACTTGCATGCCCTTCGGCCGCGATTCCGCCCGCATGCCAATTTTCAAAAAGGCCAAGATGCATGGCGCGTAGCACCAATTCATTCTTGCATATATATATATATATATGTGTATATATATATATGTATATATACACACATATATATATATATATATATATATATATATATATATACATATATATGTGTATATATAAAAAATTGAATTCAAATGTAACGTAGATCATGTGGCAAAGGGTTGGACCTGATGCCTGCACCCGCAATTCAAAAAAAGTTCGCCGACAGTTCGCCGGAGAGCATCGGATAAAGCTCAAACCAACCCAACAAACAGGGCCGAACCTGACACCACCACCCGCCGCCTCGCCCTCACGGCGCCTGTCCCCCAGGGCCCCCGACGCACGCCATCAGGGTCCACGCTTGCCCTGCGGTGGAACAGCTGGCCGGCTCGGCGACCAAGGCGCGTTCGGTTGCGCCGCCCTCCTCTGCGGGCGGCCAGAGCGGGCGCGAGCCCGTCGCCAAATCGGCGTCGGGGGGCCCTGAGGAACGGGCACTGCCAGGGCGAGGCGGCGGACATGTCAGAATCGGCACTGTTGTTTTTTTAAGCTGTACCCCAAAAGCGTTATATATCTGATTACCCTTGGCGAATTTCGGGCGGGCGATCCTGTGGCACCTGGACCAAACCATCATTTTCAGATCCCCGACTCAACGTCCACCCCCACCTTGCCCTCGCCACTCCCCCCCGCCCCAGGCGTTGCTCGAAACCAGAAAACGCACTGGCCCCCGTACACCCCACATCCTTCGCATCCATTGCGTTCCCTGTCCTGTTGCCCTCCTTCCACGTTTACCCATTGCCTTCCCTTTCCGGGGTGGAAGCGGACCAGACTCTCTGGGAACCCTGGTAGAGGGAGGAACGAGGAGGAAGGAACCGGGATAGGGGGGTCAGGGGGGAAGGGGACGAGGGGCAGGGTGAGAGGAAGAGAGGGAACAGGGACGGACGGGAGGGGGAGGGTGGTTCGGTTCGGTTCTGTCTGCGTGCAGGCTCCAGTTGCCAGAGCGGGCCCCTCAGGGGCAGACGACGCCACGTTTCGAAAGGGAGCACTGCAGCTGCATGTGTTGAACCAGAGCACAAGCTTAGATTACCTGGATGGGGAGCGGGGGGGGGAGCAGCGAAAGGAAAGGAAGGAAAAGGGGAGGATGGAATGAAGCAGCAGCGGTGGGGAACGCCCTCCGAATGTTGCTCGATGGGGGGCCGGCTCCATCTCGAGGGGGCCTCGCAGGGGTGCGATGAGTTTTCGAGAAGCCCCCAAGGGGTCTTCGGCGCGCTCCCAGGCAGGCAAGTTCGAGAGGAAGAGGCAAAGAAGGAGGGTGATGAGGTAGCAGGAAGGACTCCCAGAGTATCGTTTAACCGATCCACATCCTCAGCGGCGTGGCCTGGGCCCCGCTGGCCGATTTACCCCCTAGATGGGGATATAGGCCGCTCCCTTCGGGTTTCGAAGGGTGTATCCCCAACTGGGGTGGTAATTTGGTCGGGGTCTCGAAAGGGACGGGGATGGGGATGGGGATTGGTTAAAAGATACCGAAGAACCACAGTGTTGGGGATTGCGTAGCGGTGCGGTGACAGACCGTGCGGTGACCTCGGCACCCCCGAAGACCGCACCGCACGAGCCGTCGCCGCCGCGCGACTTTTGGGACCTCGGAGGCCCCAAACGCCCGCGAGAGAAAGGCCCGGGTCCCGAACTTGCGCGGTGGCCCCGAAGCCCCACCGACTCGCGTGCGGGCGAGATGCAGGCCCAGATCCTCTGCGAGGAGGAGGAGGAAGAGGAGGAGGAGGAGGCGGGAGGAGGAGGAGGAGGAGCAGGAGGAGAAGGAGGAGGAGGAGGAGGAGGGAGGAGGGAGGAGGAGGAGGGAGGACAAGGACGCCAGATCCTCTGCTCTGCATCTTGGAGTGGCGGGCTCCCTTCTCAAATAAGCCAATAAAGCACCGGATGTGGATAGAAGTCTGGCCCCGAGCGGATGGGCCGCTCGGGGCCCTCTCCACTGCGCCTCCGGCCTCCCGGCGCCCCTCCTCGGAAGGCCGAAGACGCAGCGGAGAGGGACAAACATCTTGCCCGCACCAGGCGGGGTGGGTGTGGTCGCCGCACCGCCTGGGGGGCTCCCGACACTGGAGGAAAGGGGCTGGCGTCCTTCTCCTCCCTCCGCCTCCTCCCTCCTCCTCCTCCTCCTCCTCCTCCTCCTCCTCCTCCTCCCTCCCTCCTCCTCCTCCTCCTCCTCCTCCTCTTCTTGCCTGATCGGCTGACGCGCGCGTGCAGGGGCAGGCAGGCGAGGACAAGAGGGGAGCAGGGGGGGCCGCAGGCGGAAGGCAAGAGAGGAGGAGGGCCGCGAGGAGAAAGCACCACCACAGGGACGGGGGGCGGGAGGGATGGCGGGAGGGAGGGAGGGAGGGAGGGAGGGAGGGAGGGAGGGAGGGGGAGGGAGGGAGGAGAGGGGAGAGGATGGAGGAGGAGGAGGAAAGGAGGAGGAGGAGGAGGAGAGGAAGAGGGGGAGGATGGAGGGGGAGGATATGAGGAGGAGGATGAGGAGGAGGAGGAGCAGGAGGAGGGGAGGAGGAGGAGGAGGAAGGAGGAGGAGGAGGAGGGAGGGAGGGAGGGAGGGAGGGAGGGATGGAGCGAGGGACGGCGGGAGGGAGGGAGGGAGGGAGGGAGAGGAGACTGCGAGCAAGCGAGCAGAAGCCAGCAGGCTCGTCGGGTTCGGCGCCCGAGGGAGAGGGTGGAAGGAGAGGGGGGGAGGGTGGAAGGCAGGGGAGAGGAGAGGGAGGAGGAGGGTGGCCGAGGAGGTCTGGCAGGAGGCGGGGTGACGACCGCAGCAGCAGCAGCAGCAGCAGCAGCAGCAGCAGCAGCAGCAGCAGCGAGGACGAGCGGGAGCACGCCCCGCAGGTCGCGCCTGGACCATCGCCCGCAGGGCCCCCACGACGCCCCCCTCGCCTGCCATCTGGAGCATGGAGGCCCCGGCGCCCTTGGCCATCTCCTCCAGGGGAGGGCAACTGTCGTCGACGTCGGTCGGTCGGTCGAGCTTTCGGCCGATCGTCGTTGGCCGCCGTAGTCATCGTCGGTCGGTCGGTCGGCTGATGGCGAGTGCGAGTGTGAAAACATGGCGTGGTGATAATAATGGCCAGTGACCATTAAGGATGGGCGGTAGTGATGATCACCGTGAGATGGTGATGATCGGTGTGAAAGGAGGAGCGGAAGGGAGGGTGAAGTGTTGTTTCCTGCACGGGGGTGTCCAGAGAAAACAAGGACCCCACGTAGGATGTGTGGAAAACCATGGGGGGCATTATGCCCCCAACACCTCCCTCTCCCCCTCGATGTCCGTCCCTTGACCTTCCTCTGCCCTCCCCTCCCCTCCCACTATTCCTTTCCCTGGGCTCGCTTCCCATATCGCAAACTGCTTCCAGACAAGGGTATAACTTTCCAGATGGTGAGGCGCGTCGGCTGCACTGCATTCTCACATTATCTTCCACAGTGTTGTTCTCTTCCACATTCTCAGGGCAGAGGGCCCCCAGGGCTCAAGAGCTTCGGGTGGGGATATGTTTCTCTAGATGACGAGGGTTCGGTCGTCCGAGCCACGCGCGCCCCCCCCCTGGCCCCAGGACTTTGGGCACCGTCTTGCGCGCCGAGATGTTGGTCTTAGAGGTCGCCTCCTCTCCTCTTCGCGTGGGCGTCGGCAACGCCGCTGTCATTCGTGGCCTGCGCCGTGGCCAGGAGTGGCACTGCGCTCTGACTGCAGGAGGAGGAAGAGGAGGAGGAGGAGGAGGAGGAGGAGGAGGAGGAGGAGGAGGAGGTGGAGGAGGAGGAGGAGGATGATGGGCAGGAGGAGAGGTAGGAGTGTAGAGGAGGAGGGCGGGGATGGAGGGGAGGATGAGATGAGGATAGGAGGAGGAGGAGGAGGAGGAAGGCAGGAGGAGGGGAGGGAGGGAGGAGGAGAAGGGAGGAGGAGGGAGGAAGGACGTGAGGGAAGGAGTAGGCGGGCTGGAGTCGATAGAAATGAGAAGCTGGCGCCCCGCACCGTCCGCCGCCCTCTCGTCCCTGTGCGCTTGGCCGCCCGCCTGGGACTCGGAGCTGGGCCTCCCTTGGCATCAAGTCGGGCGTGTCCCCCTACAGGGGATCATCGAGGAAAAAATTCAAATACCAAACAAATAGTCAGGAATGGTCAAATCATACTCAAAGAAACAGTCCCCAAACTATGTTTTGACTATTTTTGGATATTCCCCCCTGTAGAGGAACAGGCCCTTCTTAACCTTAGCAAGGGAGGGTGGCGGTCGCAACAGAAGTACCCTCCCGTGGCTCTCGGGGCGAGGGTACCTAGCAAGCTGGCGCCCAAACTGCTGCAACGCCGAGTCTGACCACCGACTCTCGTCATTGCTCATTCTCCATCCCTCCCTCCCTTTCCCCCTCCATCCTCCACGACCTCCCTCACTCCTACGTCCCCCTCCTCCCACTCGTCCAGGGCCTGATTATTTTCGGGCCATAGCTCGGCTCGTCGGCGGCCGTTCGACACGATGCGGGCACCCGCGGACCGCGCTCGGCGAGGCGCAGCTGCTGGAGCGCACCACCGAGGCTGGAAAGCCGCCGAGAACCGACGAGAGCGCCCGAAAACCTCGGACCTCGAACCAGATCCCCTCCTCCCCCTGGGAGGAGGGAGAGGAGGAGGAGGAGGAGGAGGAGGAGGAGGAGGAGGAGGAGAAAGAGGAGGAGGAGAAAGAGGAAGAGGAGGAGAGGGAGGAGGAAGAGGAGGAGGAGGAGGAGGAGGAGGAGGAGGAGGACGAGGAGGAGGAGGGAGAGGAGGAGGAGGAGGAGGAGGAGGAGGAGGAGGAGGGGAAGGGGGAAGAGGCAGGCTAGGTGCGCTCGTGCCATATCTGACGTCCTACCACTCCCTCCCACCCCCTACCATGGCACAGATCTCCTCTCTATTCGCACAATCGGATGTCGTGGAATAGCATAGCATAGCATTACATGGCATAGCAAGGTGTCGAATACCAACGCGTAGCATGACGCCGCACGGCGCGGCCACGCCCCCCAAAGGTGTGGGGGGCTTCCGCGGCCCCGACGACTCGACACCGAATGTGCAATGACCTCTGATAGTTTATTCGGGGGTCCATTTTCTGGATGTTGGGGCCTATTTGAAAGGACCGGAAACCATGCCGTGGAATGGCGCTGGGAATAATGACGCCAACGCCGCAACGGGAGCACGATTCGGAACGAACGGAAGCGCGGAAATGAGGCCAGCGCTGCAGCGGGAGCACGATTCGGAACGAGCGGTAGCCCAAACATGAGGCCTGCGCTTCAGCGAGAGCAGCGTTTTGAAAGAACCGAGCGAAAACCCAACTCCCGGGAATCCTGCGTGTAAAAAACGAGTGCGCGGAGGGGGGGCCGGACATTCCCTGGACGCCACCAGGGAAAAGAGGAGAGTAGTATTATGTTGCTCCCATCGCACTTCAGGACCACATCCCAGAAAGAATTGCGAACACCCAGACAAGTATCGAAAGAGTGTCGAAACAGTGTCGGATCAGTGTCGGACGAGTGTCTCCAAGGGCCCGACACGGGAAAACCCTCAAGCTTTTGGGCAACTTTTCTGGTGCTCGAAAGTCTCTCTGGTGATCAGGGCTAAAGTAGGCTGGCACATCATGACAAACAAAAATCCGAGCGAAAACCCAACTCCTGGGAATCCTGCGTGAGGAGAAGGATGGGAAGGATGGGGAGGAGGCGGAGGAGGAGGAGGTGGAGGCGGAGGAGGAGGAGGCGGAGGAGAGGGAGGGGGGGGATTAGAGGAGGAGGAGGAGGAGGAGGAGGAGGAGGAGGAGGAGGACGAGGAGGAGGAGGAGGAGGAGAAGGAGGACGAGGTGGAAGCGGGAGGAGAGGCGGGGCCGCCCTCCTTCTCCAGGATGCCGATCGCCCGCTCGAGGGTCCCCACCACGTCGGAGAGCTCGGCCTCCTCCGCGGCGAAGTCGCTCTGCTCCTTCGCGCGCGGTCGCTGCTGCTGCCGCCGCCGCTGCTGCTGGCCGACCCCTTGCCGCCGCCGCCTGTCGCTCCTCGCAGCCTCCCGAGCCGCCGCTCCGCGTCGCGCAAGGAGCCGCCCCCACGAGTATGCACGGCGCGCGCGCGTGGACATTCAGACCGCGCGTGCTGCCCTAATCGCTCCCTGCGCAGAAAGGACTGCCGCCCCTTCGGCAGAGGTGCTCTGACGGCGCCGTCCAGTCGGCGTGACATCGCTGCTGTGTCTCAGGGGGAACCAACAGGTACCCATCGGTCGGGAGAAGTAGGTAGACACATGAAGTAGGAAGGCGTTGAAAACAAATTGGGTTCCACCCGCCCCCTGAAGAGGACGGAACATGTGAAGCCACTCGAGCATTGAAGTGACAAGGCGCTTAAAATAGATTGGAATCTGGGACTCAAACAATACATACTTTCAACGACCGATGGGTACGGATGCCGCCACTCCCCAGACCTAGCTCGGGGTGCATTCTGCCAAGAATTGCGAGGCGAACTTGACCTCAGCGGCGGCGCTCGAGGCGAATCCAGCCGTGGCGACGCGGGCATCCCAGG